CGTCTAGTTTGCAAAGCTCTAGTGTTTTTGTGGAACGCAGAAGTCAGCGCTCCGAGAAGTGCGTGTCTGAAGACCGTGCCTCACTTGAGAGAAGAACTGTGTCCACGCTCTACAGTGTTGCGAGCTCAAGCGAGCAGAGATTTCTCCAACAACCAGCACTTATCGCCTCGATGTTGAACAGACGGCCTCGATCGGGCGATGACTCCCTCTCTGTTTTGGTAAGCTCACTCGAGATAGAAAATCTACGTTCGATCAGAGGAGTGAGACCTCGCGTGTTTCAGTAAAGAAATTTGAAAATGTGTTATTAAGAGCACAGTTTTGTATCCACTCATTCCATCTAGGCATTCTAAGCCATATAATGTTTAAGGCATCTTAATGAGGATAATGTTATAGAACCACACCGAGTCAAGTTAAGGGGCTAACTTATTAATCCCAAGTATGTAACTTAGTGTGTGCTCGTTCTGTAACTGTGTAGGGTTGGCATCTGAGGACGCTACAATGTTGTAAAGATACGTTCAACTATGATTATTTCTGAACGATTAACTGTACTACCTTCTGAAGTGACATTTCTTACTGAATTAATGTTTGCCTTATTTGTAAATTGTATTCGTGGTATCCATAGCAACTTACTGTTATTGTACTGTTATTGCTATTGTTACAAAGATCTCTGTCAGTTCCAATGTTTGGAATTACTACTGTTTACCGTTATGATGGCCATCAACTGACTGTTCGGTGTCTATTAAGACCTACTGTACTGTTTTGCTATTGGACGTATCACGTATGACTGTTATGAATTCTAAATGACTGATATGGCATGAAATATGAGCCACTGATTGAATAACTGATTTACTGATGCAAATGACTGGTTTAATTAATGAAAGGACATTCATTCTTAACCCCTTTACGCATATGTTATTCACTGGGCTTTAGCTCACTGTTTGTATTTATATGTAGGTGTCCAGGCACCGGACCGAAGTTAGGAGCGTCAAGTTAAGCTCTCGTTTTGTCGAGCCAACCATTGTGCCTCACTTCGAGGTTCCAAGTCCGTTCAAGCCATGGCTGTTTTGGGGTGTTTCAGATTCACCATTTTGTCTCTGTTTTGTAATAGATGAATAAGACTTTCCGATTGTACAATAATGTTGATGGGATTTGGTCCCTAACCCGGATGTCATGTATATATGACGTATGTGTATATGTTTTGATTATGAATGTGGCTTGTGCATAAAAGTCTTTGTGCATTCAGGTTTTCACAGCTCATTGGACATCTTTTATTTACTGTTTGGCTTCCGCCAGCCCCTTACTTTGTATTACTGTCATTACTGTTAAACAGGCCTTTGGTAATCACAGATTACTGGCCGGTTACGATACTAAACCCATAGGGGCAAGTTTGGGTCGTGACACCCTCCAACTTAGTAGAATAATTTTTGGAGAGATTTTTGATAGAGAATGAGATGGTGTTTTGAGATAACAAAGTTAGAGATGATTTTTAAACTGAAGAAAATTTTTCCTATCTTCTTTGGCTCCTGTTAGAGAGAGAGTACTAAGTTCGCCGAAACTATTCAGAAGATGCTTCGGTATTAACTGGTTTTGACCATCAGAAGACAAACGTTAGCGTACCTCCAACACCCATCAGGAGGCAGTGAATATATTTTAAAGAAACTGTCATATCACACAAGTTTCGGTTTGCATCTCTTATCTTTTGTTCTTCAAACTTTAAGATTTAAACTATTTCTTCTATATTATTTTCTACGTCTATGTGGATCTGTCTTGTAATATGTTTCATGATGTAATCTACTTCATTGATATATTTTTAGTTTTGTAATTTATTATATATTTCATTCTTTAATTTTTTTTTTTTAAATAATATTTTGTCACTTCTACTTAATTTATTTTATATATTTTTTTAATATTATTATGAAAAAGTACCAACATCAACATCATCTTCAAAGCTCAAAAACACATGTTTGTTTCATCAGATCTTGTACAAAGGTGAACAAATTTATGTGCATGCTAGTCCATTTGTGTGTTGGTAATATTGAACAGAAGCAAAAGTGTCTTCTGCTTTGTGTATATTGATTGATATATGGTTATAATGAACTTATATTCTCAATCTAATGGAGGGCCATGAGACTGACAGTGGTGATATCCAGTGAGAGTTTTGTTAAATTTATATATATATGTATCCATGGACCAGAGATTTTGAAGATTTTGAAACTTTGTGATGTATATATATATACACTATATATAGAGAGAGAGTATCCATTGAGAGCTTTGTGATGTATATATATATACTATATGATTTTAGCAATTGAATTTCAGTATCATGTTTTTGATTCTTAGATATTTATATTCTCAAGCATTCTTTCCATATCTAATCTATATACTCACAGAGACATATATATATGTATATATATATATTGTACAAGTTTGAGATCTGAAACAGATCCTCTATTTCTCCTCCAATCTTCTCTTTTATTTTATTTTATTTTTTTCTTTTAGTAGTAGTTTTAGATCTGAGATATGAAACAGATCCTTTATCTCTTTTTTTTCTTTTTCTTTTGATAGTTGTTGTTGGTGATGATTTTTTTTTAGAAGGTTGTTGATGATGAAACAGATTGCAAAGCGAACAGATAAAAAAATTTAAAAGTGAACATATAAAAAATTATTGTTGTAAAATTTGAATAGATAGTGGAACAAAATTTAAGGGGAAGAATTGAACAAATAATAAAATTTGTACAAGTCGATTTAAATAGATAAGCGAAAATGGTGTGAATCTGAACAGATAGAAAAAACAGATTATAAAAATTCAAAAGATAGGTTAAAAAAATCTGAACAAGTGGACAAAAATTTTAAAAAAGTCAACAGATAAATTAAGGGATAAAATTGAAAACAAAATATCCTTCAAAACAAACAAAAGTACTTATCACTAAACTATTTCACAAATGTTGGATCTCCTTACCAACAAAAAATATCCATTGGACCTAACGTCTTATACCTTCCTTAGCTTGAACTTTTCAACAATTTTCTCAAAAAATTACTTATTTAAGACAAGTTTGGGAAGTTTGGATAATAGTTGAAGTCAAAAAATTATTAATAAACGTCAAAGAATTATACCAAAAAAAAAAAAAAGAAGTTAAAGATTTCATTTTCTATCTATTTTTTATACTTTGTTTTTTCATAAAAAAGTTAAAAAATCATCGCAACCATATTAATTTTTTTTACTATTTTAATAAAATTACTAAAATAGTTTATTCTCAAAACAATTTTTAGATATTTTCAAAGAAAACTGAAAGGTCAAAATAGTCAATTACATGAGGTCATGTTTGTTTATTGGATTAAGTTAGATAGTATTAGAAGATGAGATTAAGGGACGGTTTGGGATGTTTGCACTTTTTGATTTTTTATAATAAAAAAAATGTGTAAAAAAATAGAAAAAGTGGGTAAAAAGTAAAAAGAAGATGTTGACAGATGTTGATTGATGTGACCTAAATAAGTATATGTATGGAAAAAAAAGTGTACTTTTTTAATGCATGCAACCAACTAAAAAAAGTCAAAAATAAAAAAAGTCAAAAAGTAAAAAAATATTATAAGTTATCACATTATTTTATCTATTTTTTTTGTACATCTTTCCGTAAAAAAATTAAAAAAACTAGCTAAAATAGTCAATTGATATAAGTTGGAGATAGAAAATAAATTACGTTTGTTTGTATATTAATATGCTGATACTAATTGATTGGGATAAATCCATAAAATTATGTAAATTTTTTAATTCATATAATGGTGATTTTGTTGTTTTAAAATTGAGAGTAATCATCAATCTATTTGATTTTGAAATTTTCAAGAATATATTTTTTCTCTCTTTCTCTTCTTTTTTATTTTTTATTTTTTGTTTTTCTAATTTACCGCATACGTCTGGTAATCCCCATTAATACCCTCAAGTTGTTGTTAACCCATCCCAAATTTATTACATTGTCATGATCCTTAAAACTTTTCACTATCCCAAAAGCACTAGTGAATTCATTAACCATTGTAACTATCATCGTCTTTAACCATAACTGGACATTGTGAAAACCTTATCAAACTAGTGAGAGGTTGGATGTTGTGTCAATAGAGGTAAGGGAAATTTTGGAGGTGGAAGAGATGAATGGTAGATGAGGTAGAAACGTTGTAGTAGTGATAGTTTAGGTATAAGATGAGGTTCGTGATAGACGAAGTAGGAATTGAAGGAAGAGGCATGTAAAAGGTTTTGATAGTAGAATATGTTGGTGATTGGAATTAGTATATGAGAGTTAGGGGCAAAAGGAGTAGTGGAGGTAAATCGAAGGAATAAAAGTTAGAAAGAAAATTTAAAGATTAGAGAACTGAAGATATATGGAGAAGGTGGAGGTTGACAGTGAAAGAGGACAATAAAAAGGGTTTCAAGTTTAAGTTTACAAAACTTAGAGAAAAAGAAAAAAGAAGATGTGTCATAATTTTGGTTTAAAATTTATAGGAGTAATTAAAAAGCTTAGTCTTATATTATATGAACTTTTTAAAATAAATTAAACACACGTGTCGAACATTTGACCCTTAAATAGTTTGTAACATATACTTTTTATATAAATATTATTATATGTGTGTATTATTGTATAATTATTATAAATGTCTTTTTGATATTATAAATTATGTATAGTATCATTTTATCTCACATATTTGATTAAAGTTATACAAATATGACATGTTATTGCCAAGTTCACGTACTTATAAATTTTTGATTTGATGACTCTAATATTTAGATACATACTAACCCCTGACATTCGTACCCGAATTCATGTAATATAGGAATAATCTAAATTTATATAATAATGTATTGTTCATTATGTCACATGGCACAACATGATTGCCAACATGAAATTTTTTAACTAATTAACGAATATTAACTATTGGAGCCAATTGAAAAAAAAAAAAGAAAAAAAAAGGCTAAAATGAAAAAAATATTGAAATTTGAGGGAACATAATAATTTACTCATAAAAACTTTGGGTGTAAAGTTTGCAGGACCTCTGTCGTATTGCAGGCGACGGCAGTGGGAAGGGAGGAGTGAAATGGGGAAGCAAGGAAAGAAGCAGCGGCACCATCATCAAAACAAGGCTTCTCGCAGAGGAGGTGCCTTCTTCAACCCTGAAGATGACGAAGATCAACAATACCCACTTGGTCCACCTTCCTCTTCTGCTTCCAAACTCACCCTCTCTGATGACGATAAACAATCCGAAGAAGAAGAAGCAGAAGCAGAGGAAGAATCCCAAAATGATCAAAACCCATCAAATGGTGATATCCCATCAAAGTTTTCACTCTATCAACAATCTGTGCAGGTGAGGTGAACCCATTTACATCAATCTCTAAATTCTCCCCAAAACTTCCAGTTTATGTTGTTTCTATGTATACAATTGTGATGGTGGGTGTTTGTGTTCTTGATTGCAGTCCCCAAAAGGAGACATAAGTTATCTGCAGAAGTTCTTTCTGATGTATGTGGGTGGGAGGTTACCTCTTCATCTCCAGGAAGATTTCTGTGGCACTGCTCTTCTTAGGTAAGGATTGCTACACTTCTTTGATCCTTTTGTCATTTTTTTTTCCCTCTTCATATAATGGTGCTGTGTTTATGTAATCATTTTGTCATGATGTGGGTATTCCGTCCATTTAGGCTAACTTTGTTGCAGCAAGAGAAAATTGAGACACTAACAAAAAAGAAATACTTGTAAAAGTAGTTTTATTGGGTACTTCCTATTACAATTTGGTGATTTAGAATCGTTTTTGGATTAATTTGTTGTCCACATTTGTGTTAGAAAAAAAAAATTAAAAAATTGAAGGTTAGCTGTTTGTCGAAATGCTTGAGATAGCTATCGACACTGAATTAGTCTGCCTGTATGAAATGCAGATGGTGCATTTTATGGAAAAGTGGTCTTACAGTTTTTGGTTTGCAGAGTTTGCTTGTGTAGTCAACGTGGATTTAGCAACCCTTAGCATTTTCTCGTTTTCGACCTTGTAATACATTTTTCTGAATTTTAATTATGGAAATACAGCTACGATAACTTCATCTTTTTCATGCTCAAGATATGGTTGGGAATTGATTGGCATGTGGCAACTGACTTTAGGTTGCTTGTTATTAGGGTTTTTGTTTTGTATAAAGGTTAAAAGTGCGAACCAAAAGTCTTTAACTTGCCTCTCACAGGCAATCTCCAAGTCCAATTTGAAGTGCTGACATTATACTTTTATGTACTTGGCAGTTCAGAATGGCTACGAAGTGACTCCAGAAGGACTGCTGTAGGATTAGATTTGGACCTCGAGGCGCTTAATTGGTGCATGGAAGAAAACATTAACAAAATTGGGGCTGATGGGTATTCAAGAATATCTCTGTTTCATGGAAATGTCTTGCATCCTCACGAGTCTCAATTAGTCAAGTTTGACAACCAATACCTTGTGGGAAACATTACTCCGAATGATAATGAAGATGATGGTTCGGAGACAGCTCCGCCGGATTCTACTGTACAAGAAAGCCCCAGTGGTTTTAACAATGGTAAATTGATGAAGGATTTCCCGTTGCCGGCAAGAGATATTGTATGTGCTTTTAACTACAGTTGTTGCTGTCTACATAGTCGCATAGAGCTGCTTTCATATTTCAAGCATGCCCGTAATGCTTTGTCTAGAAAAGGTGGTATATTTGTGATGGATTTATATGGTGGCACATCATCAGAGTGTGAGCTTCGGATGCAGAGGAAGTTTCCCAATTTCACGGTATGCTCTTTTTGCTTTGAAAACATTTTAGATATGGCCATGTCATGAGCTCATGATGTACCGATGAGACTGATTTCCATTTGTCACTATCTTTTCAAAACACTCATGATTGAAAGGGGACCTAATTTTTTTCATTGATTTGAATTTGATCACTACGCCTACCAAACATGAAGACAGAAATCAAGTGGTCTAAATATTTACATTTTATTCTCTAAGGAGCTTCATATCAATAAAGTTCCTCTTTTATGCAGGCATCAACAATTAGGATGCATCCATTGACTTGTCGCAAATCACAATTACCAGTATAGACTTTCATTTCTGAATCCGGATGTTTTGGATATCTATTGATGCAAACATGAATCTGTTCTTATAAATTATAATGTTCTAGCATTACACATGCTGAAGTTCATACTTGTTCTCCTACCAACACTCCTCGTTTTTGGGTTGTTCTCTTTATCTGACTATGCAATAAGTCCAAACTATTGAGGCAAATCGATTAGACCAAACTATAGTTAACTATCAAGTATCCCCTAGAACTTTTAAACAAGTGAGCCCCTAGCATGAAATCTTGATCTCTCTTTGTAGCACAATAACATGCATGTGCACCAAGCCAACCAGAGGTTCACACGTATCCTGAATTTGTTTAGGACTAGTGCTTATATAGGCTCTAAAATTAAGGTGTTGGAAGCACCCCACTAACTTTACACTCCGTTTGGATCGAGGGGTTTGGTGAGAAAAGAAAAGAAATGAAGAGAATGAAGTTTCTCATCACTTATTTAGATGATTAATGAGGTGAGTAATGGAGAGAAATGAAGAGACATGGTGAGAAACACAAATCACACCAAACTTAATTTTTGTTTCTCACCAAAAGTGGTGAGATTTGGTGAGAAACCAAAATTACTCTTTTAATCATAGCCCATCCAAACAAGAATGTGAGAAATCACAATCATTTTTTTTCTTTTCTCACCCAGGTGAAAATTCTAATCATTTCTTTTCTTTTTTCTTCTCTCGATCCAAACGGAGTGCTAGTATTAGTAGAAGCATGCAAGAATATTTATTGTTTGCTAAGAAACATGAACACTTTTAACAAAGTGGTGTGTCATGTCGGATACCGATATAACACTACATTCATCGGACACTTCTCGACACCTACCAGACGTATGCCACGTGCCATATTTTTAAATATTTTTAGACTCAAACACGTTTCAGACACTTGAGAAACACATGTTACATGTGTCCATTCATATGAAGTGCATTACAAGTATAAATAAAATAATTTGGAATCCAATGATAAACGAAAAACAAGGTAAATTTACATTTAGTCTTCTCCTTTAGACTTTTAACACTTATCCCTAAATATGATATATAATAAATGTATAAAACTATATTTTGCGCATCTCATTCACGTGTCGTGTCTGACATTTTTTGAAAATTTCAATGTTGCCGCGTCGTGTCCGTACTTAAATTGTTTGCATCTCTTCCCTCCTAATCATAGAACAATTTAAATTCATTGACAAATCCCTGTTGCTCTTTGAACACAAGAAACCTCTTTATTCATAGTTTCTAAATTAAAATTGGTTTGAAATTTTGCATTCTTACTTGGGTTATGCTTTTAACTTCTTCTAGTATGTTTGGGAGCAAGCTGGATTTGACATCATTCAACGCAAAACAAGAATTAGCCTCCATTTTCATCTCCAAAAGCAGCAGAAAAAACTTCGTCACGCATTTTCATACAGCTGGAGGCTGTAAGTTTGTTGCCTTCCCCATCAATATGTATTCTTTATTATAGATTTTTTATTTTTTTTTTATATTTTTTTGTCTTTTTTGTTGTGCCAGATGGTGATTACTCATGTTTATGATAATATCTGAAAAGCTTAAAAAATGTCTTCTGTTTTCACAGGTGGTCATTGCCTGAAATCAAAGACTGCTTGGAAGAGGCAGGGTTTCAGTCTGTCCATTTTTGGATTCGAGAGATGCCAAATGCTGGAGAAATCAGAAGCATGGAGGGATTCGGTTCGGGACGAGATGTGAAATATGAAGAGGTCTCCAGTTTTGATCAACAAGATTCATGGAATGCTTATATAGTAGGTGCTGCATAGTCATGTTGTCTTTATCAACTTATGTTTGCGCTCATTTATTGTTAACTTCTACGAATCTATTCCATTTTCACATTTTTTTTTTCTTTCTTTCAATAAAGTGTTAAAACATGGACTGACGTATTCTATGTATGTTTGTGTATTCAATCAGCAAGACAAAAACTGAACTTGAACCTTGAATTTAAGGTTGAGAAACCAACCATATATAGAATATATACACTTTGGTCTATGAAGCCACCAAGTCATCTTTAAATTGCAAATTAGCATTCCAATAGTTTGGTACAAAACATTTTCGTGTTTTTTATGAAGAATGTTTTTTCACAAAAACTGTTTTCTGTATTTGGTTTGATCCTGAAACTGACGTGCTAATGGTTGTGGTAGAGGTGGTGGTGGGGAGGGATGGTGATAGTAGTGGTGGTGGTAACATTGGTGGTGTGGGTTAGACTTTATTTTGGAAACTGACAATTGGGTGATTTGTTTGCCTTGCTATATTAGGGATAATGTGTGATGAATGTTGGCTATACACTCATTTGCTGTTCAGTTCTTTATATAACTGCTGTTGGAGATCTTGAACTTATGTGTTTTTTGGGTACAGGACCTTGAATTTATGTTGGCTAGGTAAATGAAGTATTTCTTTCCAATTTTATCGGGTGTACCCGAAGGGATAATGAAGTATTTCTTTACTGGGTGGGTTATACAATTTTTTTTTTTTTTTTTTTTGGAGGCTAGGTGGATGAGTTTGTGGATTTAATGCTCAGTTCGAATCTCTCGTTTTTTTTTCCCCCTCCTGTCGATTGTGAGGGCTTCTCTTTGGTTGTTGATCCAATTGGACAGAGATGTTCTTGGGCTCATTGGGGCCACTCTAGTGCCTTTTAAGGCCCGTTGAGAAGATTATCAATATGAAAAATTAAGTTTATTAGATATTAGTAATTACATGATTGAATCATATTTGTCTCATAAAATATGATTTTGAGAATAGTCTAGCTATTAATGTTTGATCAACTCGATATTTTGCATCAATGTTTCAATTAATGGATCTTGCAAAATTGAAAATGAATGGTTTCAACCATTCAAAGTCTCAGTACTTCCCAATACCCACCAAGATGGATCTTGTCATATAAGCTGTTTGAAATGGACCTAAAGTAGATCCACCAAGCCCAACAGTACCACCAACTATAGAGTAGCTTCCTAGGAAAAAAAAAGAAAAAGAAAAGAAGCCCCAAACTTGGATTTGAAATGGTTACTTGAACATTTTAATATTTCTAATGAGAAGAGTACATGCATATTAGCAAAATTAGGGTCTAAAGAGGGTTACTTTTCATGACAATCTCATCATAGATATAGAGTGACCTCAACTCTAAGTAATTGCAGGTCAAAGACTATGCCTTTTTTAATCAAACCCATTAATTAAAGCTTCACCACATGTTAACCTACGCCCCATAAGAATTAGGCAAATAATCAAATATCACATTTTTGAGATTCTATTTTAATACATTATTAAATTATTTAAAATTATAATTTACTCTTAATAAAGTTTATATTTTTTCTCAAATTATCCTTTAAAATACAGCCAAATAAAAAACAAATTAAAAATTCCAAATTACACCATTTTAAAAATTCATCAATTTCAACGTCTTGGTAGTTCAAGAATTTCTATGGCTTCACAAAAACTCAAACAAAGAAGAGAGAGAAAGTGAGGAGAGAGAAACAAAAAACTCAAATCACAAGTTCAAATAGAGCGTATATATATAACAGAGATTCGATTACTGTGACAGAGGGCTTTGGTTTCTCCACATTTTGTTTTTTGGCCAAAGCAACAAATCATATAGCATTTTTCTCGAGGTTTTTGTATATAAACCTTCACATTCTTAGGGTTTTCTATTCAATGCATTGTTTTTCTCTGATTTATAGCTTTTGAACCCAACTGGGTTTCTTCTGAATCATCTCGTGTGTCTCTGTAACATAGTAGTGACTCTCATTCCTTTGCGTAACCCAAAATCATCCAACCATCCAAAAGAACAAAAATAAAATATCTATATAATAATGATACTGAGGATTATAGTGGGTTTTGGTGAAGTAGATGGGAGTTTTGGAATAAAAAAGAAAACAAAAAGATAATATTTGAAACTTAGGGAAGAAGATGAAAAGAGTTGAACGTATAAATGGTTTGAATATATTAAAAAAATATAATTATTTTAGGGCTTAATGTGTATTATTCTTATTAATAAATTTACATTAAAGTATAATAAGAATTAAAATTTTAATTGGATGTCCTAAGTTATTATTTGGAAAAATATAGAGATCAAAATTATGCAAACAACAAAAATATAAGAATTACCCATCTAATTTGCCCTTTAATGGGTATACATTTCTATTTAATGGACCCTTTAACTTTTTAAAAGAATTACCCATGTAACTTTTTAATATAGAGAACACATTTTTTTTAAAAAAAAAAAATTCTAGGATAAAGAAAAGGAGAAAAACTTGCTAATGATAAACCTACAATTGGAACTACCAAAAATTAACAAATAGAAAACATCAAAAATTGCAAGTCAACAATATTATTTTAATTTCTGAATTATGCATGATGAAAAAAGAAAAGACAAAAAGAATTGCATTTACTTCACAATGATGGGTCTAGCGTGATTTGTTTTGAAAGTTCTTCATCATTAAAATATAAAAGTTATAGTTGGTGTTTCAATCATACTCATCCTCAGTAGATACTAATGAATTTATATTTTATTTTGATATGATTAAAGGATTTATGGTAATTCTTAGGTAAGAATTTAGAAATTCTATGGGTATGCAGTCCTTTGATTTTATTTTAATAATATAATAAAACACTTTGGTGCACGCATGACCTGTTGTGACACCAAACAAGTGATCATAAATTAAACACCAAATCAAATACAAAAGGTAAATGAATAAAAAGAATTTAGAGAAGCGATGGATGGAAAGAATTTTGGAGAAATGTAACACCACAAACAAATTCTTATAAGAAAAACGATTCATTTACATAATTTTCTTCTCATAATCTCTACAAATGAGATAATAATACATAATATAAATTTTATATCAATTGTTATGTGGGTCAGCTTCACCTCATTTGTGAAAATTGTGGAGAAAAAATTGTGTGGATGTATCACTGTTCTTTTTATAAAATCTTATTCATTTATATATTTTGTGTTTAATTTTTATATTTTTAACATGGAGGATTCCTTCCGATCCAAATCTAAATTTGGATTGGAGGGCGCTGTTTGGGCCCATGGAGCACATCACGGGTCCCATTTCGATGATCTAAACCGTTCTTTTTATTAGGCACTTCGTTTGTTTCATCTATAGAAAAAATTAGGTCGATCCGATAATTGTAACTTGTTCAATTTTTTACTAAAAAAATAACCAACAATTGTGTTTTTTAAAACAAATTATATATTTTTTTAGCGAGAAACGTAATAAATTAAACAAATTATGATTATTAGATCGATTTAATTTTTTGTATAAATGAAATACAAAAAGAATTGAACAAAATAAACGATCCGAATTATTAAAATAAGACCTAAGCTCACAGACTTAAACAACATCTTCCAGTCCAAATTTGGACAGAAGAAAATCCTCCTCTTTTCAATAATATTGTTATATTAATCCAAGAAAGTTAGAAGGTTGTAATTGCATTTAAAAGGTGATTTGACCCGATAACAACGACTTCTAGGGTTTGGTGGTGATTGCGTGTAACATATATATACTCATTCATAAAAAAATTAAATTGATTCAATAATTCTAGTCTCTTTATTTTTTGGCGTTTGTTTTTTAAAAAATGAATGATAAATGTATTTTGTGAAAATACACCGTCTATTTTTTTGAGAAGAGTTCAATGATATAAAAAAAGTTATGATTATCTAATTGGCCTCATTTATTTTATAAATGATATGCATGAAAGATATTACAAAATGAATTACAGTACTGCTAGGGACCCCTAGTGGGGGTGACTCTCAGAACCCCCATCACCACGTGAGGGGCTGTGATAGCAGAACTTGAAAAAATAAATAAATAAATAAAAAATAAAAAAAAATTCCACCAATCAAAAAACAGTGGGGTGGTAGGGATCACCCATTGGAGGTCTAGGCCATTTTCCAATGAATTATTAAAATTGTTGAAATAAAATCTATAATATAATCTAAATAATACAATCCCGTTGAGATTCTCAACTTAGGAGACACCAATGCCTTTTTTAATTATTGCTATTAAAGTTGAAAATTAGATTCAACGGCCGTCCGCGACAAATAGATACACATGATTGACTGAGTTTTATATATGTGCACTAGAGAAAATAATTAATTGGATGTAAACAATGGTGAGTATCATTTCATGCATTGTATAGTTTGTGGTAGAAGATTATTAAAAATTGTTATAAGACCATAACGTATTAGTTTATAGGTAGATTTGTGCAATTTTTCAAACTTGTGATAATGCATAATTAATTTATAGAGAATTAAATATATCTTAAACTCTCCAAGACTTCTTGTCAGATTTACTCAATCATATTTAGCATGTCAAGGTCTCCAATCCACCTACACAAAACCAAAAAATAGTAATAAATTGAGTAGTTTCTGAAGAAGGAAGCAGAGGTTCTCTATTCTGTTTTCTATTTTAAAAAAACTTAAATAAAATTTATTTGTTATTGTGAGGTATGGCTTGGAATACTCCTTTAATCCAGACGAGCCCTTGAAAGGTCCTTGAGATGTCATCAGAAACAAAAGAACAACTCTGATTGATAGTACCAGAATTAGCACTTTGACGAACAAGTTACCTTTTGTATGAATAAAAATATTTTGTTTTATAAGTGTAAATTTTTTGAGACATACCTCTCTCTCCAACCTCTTCCTTATTTTATGGAGTCTTTCTTGATACTTTCTCTTGTAACGTAGGTTCTCATTATCTCTTTGTCAGGACCATCTCTTTACTATATTCTTTAGAAAGGGACAACTTAAGTTCACCTAACGGGGTCGTGTCGACTTATCCAATGGACTCAGCTAAGATGTGTGGCCCAGATACCCTTAATTCGGCGCATTCTTCATCCTATTTTTTTGTATCTATTCGGCAATGACTTCTACATTTGGCCCATCAAAAATGGACTTGCATGTATTTAGATGTACTTTGTTTGTCGATCTAGAGTTATTTTTGCTCGGCTCTCATAGTTATACTTATTTTTGTTATTAAGAGCAGTAAAATTGATTCAATAATTTTT